GATCCAAAAATACGAAAAGGAATTCAACAGTTAAAACAAAGAATGGAAGATATGGAAAGACACTACAAATATGTATCTAACCTATCACCAGAACAAACTAATGAACATATCAAAGATATAAAAAACATAACAAGGAAAAAATTAGACATGGCAGAAAAAGCAGAATCGCAGAAGAAGTATTTATTCCAAACAATAGAAGCATTAACACAATCAAAAAATGCATTCCTGTGGAAAAATAGAGATTTAGTAAAAGTATAGAAGAAACATATGCTATGGAAGTAGCACCAACCCTGAATATGAACAAAAAAGAATTCTACCAAATGCAAGAATTCGAAAGACAAATAATAATTTAAAAATTAATAGAATCAAAAGAATATTGTACAGAACCAACAGTAAGGGAACAAATGCAACAAAAATACCGAGAACTACTAGGAGTAGAATTAGAATCAATAGGACAAATGCACGGTACAGAAGATATGGAAAATAAAATGTTTAAAAAACAACAAGAAAGAAGACAAAAACCAAAACCAGAAATATTCCCACCATCGAAACCATATCATGAATATTATAAACCACATAAAGACTCTCCAAGAAATCCACCACCAATAATACCAATATCACCAACGGACTCCACTAAAAGTAATGATGAAAATGATGAGGACCAATGGATCTTAAAAGATAGATATAGTGAAACTAGAACAGAAACATGGGTAAACCAACAAGATCAACATTCAAGACCAAATTTACCAAAAAACTGGCTATTACCAAATATTCTATCACTAAAAGGACTATTCTCAAGAAGAGGTTCACAACAATCAACATCATCAACACCAAACAAACCATCACCATTAAAACAAGAGGTTCATCCTAAAAATATATCAGAACACGAAAGTCTATATAGCGACCAAGATCATAGAGAAGAAATAATAACAACACATAAAAGAACCAGATCACATAACTCACAAATATCGTATCCAAGATCAAATAACCCAAGACTAACAGAATGGAGAAAACAAAATAAAGTACGAAGAGAACTTTATGAAAACCAACAAAGAGAGGAAATAACATCTGAAGATGAAAGAGAAATGGATGAAGTAGAACAAGAAATAGAAAATGAAGGACTAAATCGACCAATAAGATACCAACAACAACAAGGAATACATTATGACCCACAAGATCAAAATGAAGCAGGACCATCAACAAATTATACTCCAAGTTATACTCTTTATGAATCAGACTATACTAAAACATTAAAATCAATCTGGAGGGGTCAAGATGTATACTACCCTATACCAAGAAACATGAATTTTAATGAAAATCATTGGAAAAAAGTATTTAAATTCACCAACCCAGAAATAGCATGAAGAAATAATACAAGAATTGAAAAAGGTTTAAAAGACATATATGAAACCTCAACAATAGGAGATAAAACACCACCACCATCACCGAAAAAAGAAGGAATAGGAGTACCAGATGATATATCAGAAATGACAGATAATGACCCAAACAACTTCAATTTCTATGAGGAAATAAAAGAAAAATACCCTATAGAAATGAGACATATAATATTACCAACTATTAAAAAAGGAAAAAATGTTAAATATCAAATACTTTCTGATGAAAATACAGACATACCACCAATGTTTATAGGGTATTGTAAGATTAAAAAACCCACTAAAAATGATATATATATAGGAACAATAGCTGAAATGGCAAAAGAAGCAATAATAGTCCAACCAGGAATAGCAAATGACGACCAAATAATGATAATGAATATTTCAAATAAGAAATTTAAAATTAGAAAAGGACAAAAAATAGCAAATGGTGAAAAAATTAAAATTAAAAATTTCAAAAAGAATGACTATAAAAAATGAAGAATTCTGTCCAGAAAAATGATATGATTTTTCTTCAGAATTTACCAAACTTCAACCAAACTGTTGAAGATGAAAAGAAGAGAATAAAAATCCTTGAAGAAC